GGGTATCGTATTTCTTTCTTGTATTATGCTCAGCATGTTTGTCTGTACTGCTTTGCATTTTGCATTATGAGGAGCCTCCTACTCTACATACACTTTTGTTAATATCTCAGCTATTGGTCCAAGACAAGTCAATAAATCAAACATTTGTCCGTGCAAAAAGAGACTGTCGAGGACTCTACCTATAGTGGTCTGTATAATCATCACTTACACTTTTCATGTGCAACATATCTTTTCTTGGTCAATACAGTGACATCATCATTAAACACACATTGACATGTCATACACTTTATGAACTCTGGAGATGCAAAAAAAAAAAGCATCAATCATTCAAGACTACCTTGCTACCGGACTGTGCCGCCTAGGACAAACACCCTGCCAACTCTATGCATGTACTCCGAGAAAATTCACGCTGTTCCACAACTTGTCTTGTTTTTTAGATTTGAGTCAGTACAAATTAGGATTATGAGGCATTGGGAATGAAACCGTTACATGACTCTGCTTCCTAACTGTTACAATCGACGTGGAAATCTCCAAAATGCTAATGTGATTCAGAGAGGTTAGTGTAGAAAAACATAATACTAAATTATTAGAGGTAATCAAGCAAGGATGCTAACAGTATTTGACACACATGCTTTTGTAGGCTTGCTCGTCTGGCACTGCTATGTGGTATTAGTCTCGCTGGATTGCCCGTTCAGGCACAGTCACGATGTAGGGAACATCTTTGCTCCCCGATTAGAGCCTGCTTCTACTGTACAGTTTTTGGCAGACATGCAGAAATACACAAGAGCTGATACAGCGTGTCGTAATAGCGTGCGAGGCTACCTGCTCTTTCCACGGCATCACGTACGTAACATCCATGATGACCACGTGAGTGCATAAAGTACGCTGGAAGACAGAAAAATTCGACGGTCGTGTGGAATCTCGTTTGGTGGTCCGAAGTTGGTATTGCTGAATCACTGAGCATGTAATCTCTGGGTTCATATAACAAGGATGTGATGAAGCTTGTTATGGAAATCTCCTGGGACTAGCAATACCTTGTCCACGATTGTGTTGACCTGGCCTGCCTATCTTGTTGATCAGTTCCACAGTCCTCCCTATTACCCTGCACTGTCATTGTCCCAACCTAATCCTATATCCAATATATATTCGACACGCATGCTATGAGATTTTCAGTGGTACAACATTATTCAAGTAGTACTTTGATGGAGCAAGAACACTGAGCTAAACACAGCCATGGTTGTAGCTAGTGCAACTTATTACCAAGTCTGAATTAAAGCTACCGTACGGTAGGCTGTAACTGCCAAGGTAGTATTAGTAATTAACCAGTAATCAATCGAGCTAGAGCTAGATGCTGGTCTCTCCCTATCACGAGGACGGTTCTCGGTACACGGCCACATCGCATGTGAGGTGCTTTCACCAGTTCACCAGCGGTGGGAGGCCAAGTCAAGTCAAGGTTGCAATATATATCACGCAGCATACACACGCCACTACATCCCAATGAGACTAAAAGTTCAGCAAATTAGACCGGCATCTGTGTGTGGACTTAACACATGTCGCTACAAAGATCGTTACAATCCCGATCCAGATGTGAGCAGCTAAAAGGTGCAAGTCGCCTTCGTCAACATATATATCTTGGTGCATAGGAACGAATCGTGGGAAAAGTGTGCGTATTGATCCAAGGTTGTCAAAATGAGTAGAGCTATCTAGCTAGCTAGTGCACCAAGTAAGCCACGCACTCAGTGAGAATAGCACCCACACACGCACAGCCGCAAAATTAATTCATGTACTTTGACCAGACTACATATATATCCGGAGCAGAATGTGTCGTCTCTACGACTGAGGGCGCGTTCACAAACAGGAAGGTGTAGACGGTGCCTGCCAACATCTAAATCTCCAAAAAAAAAATTAAATGCTCAATATCACCATGCTCTATTGGATAGTTTGTTCAGTATATTGGCAGTTGTTTGATTAATTTAATCCAGAAGATAATCACGAGTATGGCATTGACAGTGCTGAACATATATACTGATATTCAATCACGTAATCACATACTACGCAAATAGACACATCTACGTATAACGCTAGTATGACTAGCACAGAAATAATCGGGAGCAAGATAAACGCGTTGTACCCTCCAGTAGGCCAGGTCGAAACTGCGGTGGCGGCGGCAGTAGTGGTGTCCTCGGTGCATAGGAATACATGGTAACAAATGTCAGAATCCACCTAGCCATTTTACATTCCCTGCAGATGCGTCATTCATTTTTTCGAACAGGAGGCAAAAGCTTTGCCTCATCACATTGAATAAGATGAGTTTAGAAGTAATAAAAGTGACTGGTACGTACAAATACTACTCGCAGCATGAAATATGTTAAATGTTTAGCTACATCCAGTCCCCAAAGATTGGCCTCGACCTTTACCTTACTAGCGATTGCGGTTCGTATTGAGGAAACCCCTCTAAAAACAATATGACTTATCTCATTTCAAACTTCCTATGAGGCTAGCATAAGGAGGGATATCATGCCCTTCCCCGCATTACCTTTGATGATGATCATGGATAGCCAGTATTCTTTGATGGAGGTGAGTTACTCCAAGCATCGATGTGCTCCTGATCCTTGTTAATCACAAGCGAGGTTCATGCATGGATCCTGGTTGATACCGGATTGCCAGAGCGAGCCCTTGCTCGTGTGCTATGCCTCACTAGCTAGAACCTACCTCGTTCCCTTGGAGTGCATGAGAGAAGTTGATCTATGGAACTTGTCGATTTGGTTGACGCCTTCTAATCTGACTATCTGAATGAATCTAGCTTTGTAGGCAGACTGGATAATTTTGTTTGAGGTTCACTCCTGACATCTCCTAATCCCATGATTCTTGCTAGTCTGTGGTCACGTGGTCTCTAAGTGAATATTGGCAACCGATCAGTTGATCTCTCTCTCCTCTGGAGGAACTAGAGACTAGATAACTCGGAGATCCATGGTCTTACACCGCCCATGGTGACCTTTATGTACAAGGTGAACATGTGTAGCTCGATCCAATGCATTGGGGCTGATGGTTGGTCGTCATTCTTAATAAATTCCATGGATATTTGGTGGACAAGCCGATCTAAATAATTGCTGTTCTCTAACTGCCATGCCTCTGGGTGGGTAGCTTCAAGCCAACTTTTGCTTGTTTCATATTACTCCATCAGTCCCAAAATAAGTGTCAGAAGATTAGTACAACTTTACACTAAATTTAATACGAAGTTGGGACACTAATTTTGGGACGTCGGGAGTAGCTTTTATTTACATATTACTTGAAGATTATGTACAAGTTTCTAAGCATTATCTTACCTAGCTAGTGAAGGCATGACGACACACCACGCCCATCAAAGATCATATATGTGCATGTAGGATTTCTTTTGTTTTAACTAGATGACCCATTGCACCAATTGGCGCAAGGATAACTCCAACCTGCAAGTTAAGTGAACTATATGGAACCTAAAATGGAAGTCAATCCATGCACATAACAGTGATGACCAAGACTAATCACCTGTCAGATGCACTAGAACTAACTACACATGTGCACTACATGTTGAGTCGCACAAATAACTCAACAACAAGGATAAATTTACTGTGCTAGCTTTTTTGAACATCAGAAATGCTAACTATGCTTAGAAACCAGCAATTATAAGCATTTAATTCCATTAAAAATACGCCCATATGTATGTGACTGATCCATGCCAAATTTTCTTGTTACTGAAACTTCCACCATCTTTCCCTGAAGACTTCAATTGCCTAGCTTTAGAAAAACTGCAAAGCGAAAAAGTACAAGCAATGTAATTACTATACAATACCACATTTTAAACGGTGGAGCCGCACGAGTCACCCCTGTAGGGGCCAAGCGGTCTTTTTCAGAGTTCAACAAGCCTCTGCATCTTGTAAACACAAGACTCTCCCAACAAAGTTGTGATCCCTTGCCATCATATCTTCCATAAAATGGTACCCTCGCCAAACTGCAGAGGTAACTAAATGTACTTCTTCTTTGCACACAGACTCAAATGTTTGTGTGTCCACCATAGAAGATGACAAGGTTTCTACATGGAAAGATAAATAATCTTGGAATATATTCGATCTCAAAATCGCAAAACAAGAGCCAACATATTACTCTAGATTTGTTGAACTTGTAGTAAAATTAGCAGATAAAAATACTCAACTTAAAGAAAAATTAGCAGCTAAAAATACACATACTTAGCAACATACACGAGGAAGTGCAACCAAATCAGAACGTATCCACTAAACAACCAACACGTACAACTAGTACTGTGGCTAAAACTGTCTTGTTAGCCCATGCATTTGTTGCATTATGTAAACAGGTACACACAAAATTTTGAATACATTCACTTACGGTAATTACAGATCGCGCGGGATGGACGAACCCAGCCACATTTTAGCACAGACCCTTGTACTAACTACACGCTATGAGGGCGAAAACGCATATCCTCCATCATCAAAGAATTCATTGCTTCATTTTTGCAACCCCTGTTGTTCTGTGCACTACATATATGCCCATGTTTTGCTAACTCAGGGTGTCAATAGAGAAATTTCCCACCTCAGCACCGCTAAGCTAATCCCTGAGTTGACGAGGAGAGTCGGGGCCGACAAGGTATATTCGTCTTCGACTGCTCTTATATCGGAAGACCACCACGCCCTTGTAAGCTGCCCGTGGAACATCGCTAGTCCGGGCGTTGCACGAGATTTAGAACAGGCTCGATCACATCCCCTGTTACATTACACTTCTTTTTTTGCGGGTGGCTTGTTATATTGCTCTAGAATCACACCTAAACTAGTTCAGCCAACTTCGGACGATCAGTCAAGTGTACAGAAATTTGCGGAAATACATCATGTGTTCGAGCACAGTTACGCTCAACGTCGTCCACTCCGGCCGCATGGACACGCTCTCACGATCGTCACCAGTCCATAGTACAAACGGGCCGCCATGGAATGAGCACGAAGCATCGCGCGTTAATGCGCCGTGCGAGGTTCAAGATGTCTGTCAAGTACTGTAGCAGAAGCAGGTTCGGCTCTGAACGGGGAGCAACCATGTCGTCGGTGTCCAGATTGTAAGTGAGCACAGACTGGAACAAAATAGAACAGACATATGAGTGCTTACAACTGTTACAGTGATTGGCGAATTTAGGGGCCGTCCATTCAGTGCGATCAAACGGTGGAGAAATAGGAGTTACGATATTAGAATTACATGAAATTACAAATACTTGTGGGACCATTACAAGATTATGGTGGGGCTAATCAATTTCTAAAAGGGTAGATCTGTCTAATTTAGTGTGCAGCGCTGGGAGAAAAGGAAAAGAAAACCTAGCTCCGCACGCTTCTTCCCCGTTCTGTCGATCCCCTCTCCGCTCGCCTCCTCTCCCGGGTCGCTGCGCCGCTGGCTCAGCCGCTTCTCGTCCTCGACCAGATCAGCGTCCATCTTCAGCGGCGGCGGCATCTTCAGCGGAGGAGGCGGGTGGTCGTGGCGGCGGCATCTTCAGCGGCGTCGCCGGACGAGCTCCACGCGCGGGGGAGATATCTCCACAGGCCCGCGCAGCCACGTCCCCTCGCTAACGTCGGCCTCACAAAGAAGTGGTCTAGTCCGCCCGTGCCGCCGAGGAGGGGGAGCAGCCGCGCCCGGAGGAGGTCGTCCCCAACGCATGCATCTAGTCGTCGACCTTAACTACACTGCAGTCGCCGCTGCTGGTCCAGGTCGCCCAGTTGACACTGGCCCTGCCGGAGTGCAGCTCATCCTGCCCGAGGACATGATACGTACGGTCTCTTGCTCCCCCTTCATCCCCCTCTATTGATCCCGACATGTATTGATTTTATTGGGCAGTTCAATTCGGTGCTTGCAAGCGAGGAAGTGGTTGGATGTGCGATGGCCTAGTGGCATAGATACGTGATAGTTTTGTGCTTTGTTGATTGATGCACATGTGGAGCTATGCAGTTACCCTGGAGAGGAATTAAATTAATTACTTGTAGAATGATATTTGCAGTGTTATTGTTCGTCACGATACAAAGCGCAGGAATCATATTAATAAGTTATACATCGTTTGTGCCATAATTTGCCATCTTGGATAAGGATTGATACAAGACAGAAGGACCAAAATCATCTACAATTGTTCGCTAAGTAGAAATTTGCTACTGCAACCCTTAGGAAAGTGACACCTTCAGAAATTGTTTAGACGGAGGGAAGAACATACAACACATATCCCTTTATTCTGCACATTCGTGTCTGATGGAGCAGTTGTAGGACGTTGTTTTTTTCTTCGATGTTCTTTTCCAGGTGAAATCCATGGCTGCTTCCTAAAACTTATAATTTGTAAGCAGATGTTTCAATTGCCAAAAGCTGGTTGTTGTTCTGCCACTAGACTGACCATCCAGCTTTAAATTTTAGTGTAATATCAAGATGTTGCAACTGAACTCTTCTTAAGGTAATTCTTTGTTTTATCTGAACTCACTAAGATTATTTGCTTTTTCTTTGGTCTTTTGTGCATTTAAAATGCCAGAGAAAATTTTGCCTATCTCTTGAATTTTCACACAAAGCTAAGGTGTTCCCCATTTATAATTTAGAGACAAGCATCTTCTCGAAGCTTAGCCTTACAATGGAGACACCATCAATGGCAATTCCAAAGTTCTTTGCCTGATCTGTCAGTATCTTTCTAATCTCCCACCTCGCGCTGAAATTAAAGGGGAAAGGAGCAAACAATGAGCACCCACAAGTAATATATTCTGCCAAATATATACAAGCATGCCTACACAATGCTAGTAATCATCGTTGTGTATAATGGCGCCATACATTGTGGAGCAAGGCCATAACTATGTTTCTTCACCTACATTTGCACAGATGAGCAATTATTGTCTTCTTGCCTTTTTCAGGTATTTGGCAATGTTATCTCTTGGGCTGCCCAATTGATCACTGAAGCTGGTGGCAAGGTGGCCGCCATCAGAGATGTCACAGGGGCTGTCAAGAACTCCAATGGCATTGACATAGCCAAGCCGATGAAGCACTCGGCAGAGAACCGCGGGATCAAGGGCTTCGACGGAGGCGATGCTGTCGACCTGATCTCCCTGCTCACGGAAGAGTGTGACGTGCTCATCCCGGCAGCTCTGGGAGGAGTCATAAACAAGTAATCTTCTTCTTCCTCATCCCAGCTCACTTCATCCTATCTTCTATCAAATTACTGCTCTGAAGCTTAGTTAAAGTATCCTCATGACTGTTATATTTTTCTGTATCTGAAAACATTTTTTTTAATATGAAGTACGTTCGATTTTCGAATTCTGGCAAGTACTACCAGGCAGCATAGCAACCCTCATTGTACTTTATATTTTGCTAAATTTTAACTAACAACTCTGCTGAACCTGACTATTTTTTTGCAAAACCTGACTATTCTGTCTGTGCCACATTGATCTTCAGTATTCAGAACGCACCATCTTCTGAACTTGCATATTTAGTAGGAGTACGTAGTATGTATCAGCAGTGCACACACATTAATTATCATGGAATGCTTTCTTAGAATGGACTAGAGATCTCAAATGGAAGTTGCCAGTCGAATCTGACACTTTGGTTTGTTAAGAAATTCTGCAATACCTGCCTATCCTAATTGTACCGTTTATCTTCGGTTTTACTTCTACTCCTAGGGACAATGCTGATGCCATCAAAGCGAAGTACACCAACATTTCGCCACAAAACTAAGCTGCATTTGTTGACACATTTCACACATTGACTGACAGTAGAGAAATGTACATGTTCGTGGTGCAGATTCTGGCAAAGAAGGGCGTGCTGATCCTACTGGACATCCTGGCCAACTCCGGCGGAGTGATGGTGAGCTACTTCAAGTGGGTGCAGAACATCTAGGGGTTCATGTGGGACGAGGAGAAGGTGAATCGGGAGCTCAAGACGTACATGACCTGCACCTCAAACATAGTTCTGATTATTTAGGCAGTGTATGTTGCAGTATAGAATGGACAGTAATTATGTATTGTATATCTTTGAAAACCAGAAATGGCTCAATTTGGAAGAATGCGTGTTTTATATGAGTTTCTTGCCCGCGTTGCTACAAGTGCATTACTATGCCTCAACCATAATCATCCTTGACAAATATGGCAGTCACCTTTAGTATGGAACAGAAGAAGCATGCACAACCTATTTTGTCAATGAGCAAGTTTAGCATCTGTTGTACATTGCTGATCTTATGCTGGTTCTTATTGTTGTCCTAGCTGTTTAGTTAGAGCATCT